ATCGGAATGATTATCCTGTTTTATTGAATAAATTATTGTTATAGCTCCTATTCTTAATGTAATGGATAAAAACTATGATTGTCAAATAATTTTTCTTAGATGACATAAATCAAATAAATTCAAACCTATTGCATAAATTAGTTTTGAATGTAAATGATAAAGCATAAACGAAAGATAACAAATTGTCTCACAAATCACAATTTTTGAAATAAAATAATTCGGTTTGACGAGACGATTTTCGGCCATTTGAATGGTTTATAATTTTTATTGCTGGTGGTCGCTCGCGCGTGTTATCCACCTGATAAGCTTAAGCATTATACTTAAAATAATAATAACGCATAAAATTGAATTGCCTTCTTGCGTGCGCGGACGAACTGCACGCTAATTGGCCACGCCACTTTGCATTGCAAATCTCCACATCACATTCCACTTTGAATCTCAATTCATTGTCTGAGAATAATTTCGTTTAAAATACAAATTTTATTTCAAAATCTACATTATTTGCTAATAAAACAATTTTAATTTAAAAAAAAAATGCTTCAATTTTTATAGGAAGGAAGTCCATAAAAATACGTTTAAAACTAAATTAAAAAAAAAATATTAATCACATTGTTCTTTAATATTTTTTAAAACTTAAATTTGTTCCTTTAAATTATCCAGTCTTGCTAAAAAAAAACTTAAATTGATACATCTCGGAAAAACCCATTTATTTTGCCATATCTTCACTTTTGAGAGTTTTAAGCGATGCTCTTAATGGGTAATTATGCCAGAGATAATTTGAACCGCAAAGTGCAGTGAAATTTGCCAGCTGTGAAGGTTTGAATGCATTTGGTGGCGACCGCCGGAGAAACCGCAGAAGGGAGACTTGAGGTGGGCGTGTTGCCGAGTGCAAAATGCGCGCAATATTCGCAACTAAAAGCCGTCATTAGGTGCTGCGAAACTGCTTTTTATTAATCTAAGAGTGGAGGCGCTCGGTGCACAAATTCATCCGTTTAATAAATGCCTGCACATTACACGAGATTTAATTGTTCCCATGGAGCTTGTTCTCCTCCGCCGCCCGTTAACAGCAGCCAGCGAGTAGCACTCCTCCTTACTTGCCTGCCCGGACACGGAGGCGCCGCAACAACCTTCATTACTTACACCGTGCAGTGTGCACCAAATCCCCAGCTAACCGTTCCGCCGCCGCCGCCACTTAATTGCACGGGCTGCAAAATGAAAACCGACTCGTTTTATTATCCAAAATTTCACACAGTTGCATTTTCAAACTGCACCGCTGCGACATCAACTTCAAAGTTTATCCATTCAACTGTTCGCATTTCACTGGACTGCAGGGAGCGGAAATTTACTCTTGTCTGGGAAATACAATTTTTTGGAAAAGCAATTAATTTCTTTTTTGATGATGTCCAGACTAACAAAAACGTCTTTTATCGTAAAAAGCGTCTTTTTAAGCTTGGATTCCAATTAAAATAGTGCTATTTAGGTAATATTTTTATGAAAAATTTTTCTTTTTTGTGCAAAAAATAAAGGAGAAAACTTTTAGAAGAGACTAATTATTTTCAGCCAGCTCTGTCTTTGTTAGTGATGAAGAAAGCAAAAAACTTTTTCTTATTTCATATAATTTTCATTTGTTTCATCTCACGCTTTCAGCATCAGAATGCAAAGTTTCAAAATTTTACAACTTCAACTAATCAAAATGATCGAGTTAATAAACAACAAATACAAACAATAATGTAATTCAGCACAAAAGCTATAACTTTTACTATAAGCTTCCAACGAGAAATCAATAAAATTACAAGAAAAACTTTAAGAATTTTAATTTTTAACTGTCAGAAATTGTTGAAAAAATCTTTAAAATAATATTGAGGAGTGAAAATACATTTTGTCACATCTTTTATATCGGTGCTATTTTTTATAAGAAAGTTTTATTCTAGAATGAAATCATAGCTAGTCCTAGTTGACATTATTAATTCAATTGTGGAATTTCTGTGTGTGTGCAATCGTCAACCCTCGAGGGATTTCTGTCCTGCTTTGCGTTTAGCGTGGAGCGCACAAGGGAAAGTCCCCTTTGTCCGTGGTTTTGACCAAATGAAAAAGCTGCTCGCTTGCAACGCGCGTGCATTATGCAAAAGTTTTTTGAATTACGGTCTGCTTGTCTCTCGCTCTCTCGTTTGTCCGGCTCGCGGGTAATTTTTCCTCCACGGACCACTTGTGCACCCCTGTCGTAAAGCACCTTGTGTTTTAGTGCGCGCGCATTAACTTTGAGCCGCGCACTTAGTTTCATGTCCGCGCCCTCCAAACGCCAAGTTCTTGTACCTAAAAAATGTGGTTGGCAACAATCAAGAAAGATAAAAACTCACTTCACTATAATAAAAGTTATTAAGTTACAGAGAAATATGGAAACTCTTTTAAAATGGCCAAATATGATTGAATATTATATGAACTTTAAGGGTTAAATAATTTTAAGATCAGAAAATATAAATAATAATTATGTGAAATGTTACTACAATTTCAATGATTGAAAACAATTTTAAACTTTATTTAATTTAAAAGCTTTCTATGATCTGTAAATATTTGCAATATATATTTTGAAAATAGAAAAATCATATAAAGTAATGTGAGATGAAACTATATAAATATTCGAGAAAATCTTTCGTAAATAAATTACATACTAAATTTTATTGTTAAAGCACTATATTTTTTGTTCTTCATGGCTGAACCAGTTGATTATATAAATTAATAGGAAGTTTTTGATTAAAAATTCAATTCCGCGTCATTCCAAGTTGAATCCATTCAGAATTTGCAAAAAAAGAACGTGACGTTTCCGAGCAATTTGCTGACTGACCACCGGTTTGTCCAGCGCGCATAATGGGTGGCTGCTTAAAAAAGGTGAGCAGCAATTTGCGTCTCTATTGTGCGTCGGGCGGTAACGAGCCATTGATTGTTTTCCTCCGCTCTAATTCGAGTTCAGCGATTGCGTCCGCCGCGGTTTGACCTGCGGGCGGTCCCGCTCGAACACGGCAGCGGAACCTCCCGGGGCCACTCGACGCGACAACACACGCGGCTGCATCCGCCAACAAGGCTTTATCATCTCATTGTTGTAAATGGAGCAGCAATAGACAGGGTTGTCGCCCACCGGGCACGCTGCTTTGGTTCTAACGCAATTTGCAGACTTTCAAAAGCTCTTCTTACGAATCTCAAGCGACTTGTTTACTCAAGGTGCGGATCATGTCGAAATTTCAAAACAAGCTTTACCTTGTTGAAAAAAGTTGAGCAACAAAGAAATATTTCAGCTTCTGAAAATCTATTTTGAGCTTGTGTAACTTTTAAAATCCTACGAAATTGGGCTAAAATTATTGACTAACTATTTATATTACAAAACTCTTGGCCACTCACAGTGATTAAATTTTGCAATGTGGGCAAGTGAAGTGTGAGATTTTAAAGTTATCCTTTAATGTTTGTTTTAAATTTTCTTGATCGATATAATTTTGAATGAAAACTTTTCTGCGATATTTTTTTTTCAAAGATTGTCATTTTTGGAGTTTCCAATGAAATTTTTAATAATAGATTGTTGAGAAATTGTTCTTATATTGTTTTGATTTGTTATTCTCTCTCTCTTGTAATATTGAATTTATTTGAATTTTATTTGGGCAGAGAATGCCTGGTGAATTGGTGATTCAAACATCATCTGAAACTAAGCATTAAGAATAATTGGGATAATTAATAATACGTTGAAAAATTTTAAATCCATATTTTTTTCAAAAAATGAAAAAATAAAATATTAGAATATATTTTTATTCTGAATAAAACAATTCCAAAAGATCCAATTCCAGAATTAACTAAATAGAGAACTTAAAAATCGTGAAAAATATGTTTCTTTTATTTATTTTGTCGTCAGTCTACCTATTTTATTTCAAGTTGCGAACGGAACAATCCAATTGGGAATTATTTATATGTCTTGTATCAACGTCGATTCATTTTTCATCAATGATTTGTGGTGTTTTTTTTTTTACTTTTGCAAAAGCCAGAATTTGTTTAGAGTGGGTATAAAGGAATGTTTGAATGTGGGAGTTTGTACTTTCATCCGAGGCTGCTGGGCTGGGCTGCACGACCACGAGCGATTGTGGGATAAGGAAAGGTGGGCTTTGTATAAAACGCGCCATAAATAATGAATGAGCCGGGAATTATATCCGGCGGCTTTTTACTTTTCTGCGGCGTCCGACCGACTTTTTGCATAAAACACGCGCACACATTCCGCCGGCGAGAAGGACCATCCGCACACCACTTGATAAATTCATAAATGTGTGCGAGCGGCTGTAATATTTTATTATGTGTTGCGTCTGACATTTCCCCTCGGCTTTTATATGGCTCCCTGCAGGGCCCGTGTGTGTATGTTTGTACATTCAAGAAGGAAGAAAGAAAGAAAGAAAGAGAGCCACCTAGAGAAAGAACAATATCAGTACTTCTTCTTATTTCTCTTTCGTCGGTGGAGGAATATAAAAATTCCCTCTTCTTCGCAGCAAGATTTGCTCGCAGGAATAATAGAAAATTTTTTATTCATGCACACGGTGGTGGTGCGGAGGAGCGAAAGCCGGTTTACAAATCGCTTAAGTGTGTAGCTTGGCAATAACAATAAAGTTTGCAGCTTCAATTTTCACATAAGCTTGCATGTGAGTGAGCCCGCGAGAGCTCTGTGAAAATATACTACAACGGCAAAATTCGATCGTCCTATTTGTGGCGGCACACCAAACTTTTGCATATGATACTTCTTCCTATTCACTCTGAATAGATCTATTTGTAAAACTTTCTTTCTTTCATAATTTACAAGAAAGCGGTAGAAAGACAATCAATTCAAGAGGCAGACTTTGATTTTCCCTACAATAATTTTTAGTTTGAATTGAGAGGCTGATTTTTCAAAAGTTAAATTAAAAATATTTACTTGTTTTTTTTAATCAAATTTTGTAATACATGTTTAAATAAATAATTTTGTTTTTTGTTCGCAGAGAGCCTGAGAGAATACTTCAGCAAATACGGCGAAATCACCGAAGTGATGGTTATGAAAGACCCCACCACGCGCCGCTCCAGGTGAGTCCTTTATCTTTAGCGACCCTCGCCGTGATTAATCGGGGCAGGGTCGGCAGGGCGCGCTGCTCCTAATGCATTAGACCGCAGGGCGACGTGCGTCTACCCCGGCCAAAAATTACCACGCATTAATTCCGCAAGCACCTTTTTTTTCAAAATTGCAGCCTGCCCCCGGCAACACCTTTCTTGCGCTGCATAAAATATTAAAATTTTCTTTTCGATGGAGAGAGACGACACACGCGCTATTTTTATGTCATTTCCATGGAAATGAGACGCGATAAATTTTCAATTTATTCTCGGCTGCGTGCAACGAGGAAACGAGCTCTCCTACTCGAATACACTTTTTGTCCTTTTTTCGGCGCGCGAACGTTTTCCGATATTGCGACAGTATTTGTCCACAGCCTGAAATGTCCGCAGAACACCGTCCCTCACTCAAAATGCGTCAACATAATTTTTTATTCAGCTAGATTTTGAGTTTAATTTTTGTTTGTTATTTAGCTAATAATATATTGGAAAATATATTTTTTGGAGGGAAAAATTGCATTGTTGGACCAAAAGGAACGATTTTGCTTATTAAGCTTTAGAGAAAAAAAAATCTCGTCAGCCGAATTGAACACCTTGGATGACTGTTACAGATTTTATTAATTTTTTATTATCTCGGCCCGATAACTCGCAAACAGAGCAAACCAGCAACAGAGAGAAAGACGATTGTTTTCCGCTTTTGATAAGAAATTCATATCAAAATCGGATTTCTCTTAAAGTAATTTTTTATGACACCTTCAGACTCCGTATTGTCGTATTTAATTAAGTTCTTATCAACAATAAAATGAAATTTAAACACCATTGTTGTAATCTTTAGACGAGCCCTTGAGTCACTGCTGATATGCCATTTTTTTCATTGCATTGTTGGGCATGCAGTGCTGGCCCGAAGGGTTGGGAGCCCGCATGTGAGATGTCCAGGCCCCATGTGAGCCGGGTTCAAAACCCAGCTGGGCTGGCAAGGCAGGCCTTTTTAAATTTTTTTGTCGTCCATTGCAATTCGAAAACACGTTTGCAATAAAAAATATTGAAAATTAACTTAAAACTCACACTATATTTATTATAAAAAATTACAATTTTAGTGATAAAAAATTAGGGCTCTTAGGAGAGAAACATTGAATTGTTCAAATTATTGTCCAAAAAGCAACTTAACTTTCCGAAATCAAAAGTCCTCATCCGCTGCAGTGAGCCTCCTTATTGAATAAATTGGTATGATTTTGACACATTGATCAATGATAAACTTCCTGTTGATCAGTTTTATTTTAATTTTAACGTTAGCCATGCAAAATGAACTGATGATTTGCAACTCTCTATTTATTTCAGTCCTCAATTCTGCTAATTGCTTTTGATTCCTGGATTAATTTTTATCATTTGAAACGAGCTTTTTGTGTGCTTCACTCTTAGAATTTCATTTTTCATGGGGTTGGTCGTTCTCTCTCTCGCTCACGTAGAAGTTTCTCGCTTCCTCTGGGGAACGAAATCCAGGCTGGGCCGGCTGCCGAATTCCCAGGTAGCTCTCGGCCGCAGAAGGCATGAAATTTTAAAATCCCCCTCTCGCAATTAGGATTGCAGTGGCCGGCGGCGAGTAATTCATCTCGGGTCTCTCTCATCTCTTATGCAGGGCACATTTCCGCCTTCTTTCATTTCTCACTCTTCATTCTGGTACAACTTTCATGATTGTTTTTGTCACGGCCGCCATAAATCTCTGCGCGGCCCGCATCGGCGGCATATCAGTCGGTGAAAAATGCGGCCGATATATCATGCACGCCTGTTCGCTTTCTCTGCCAAGGAAAAAAGTGGCGGCGGCGCCCGGGCGGCGAATCCCGACCGGCGCCCAGGTGCCGCTCGCAGATATGCAACCGGAAACGCACTCCTTCTGCCCAAACACACACAATCAAATATTCCAGGCACACACGCGTACCAACTTTTCCATTCTTTGCCGTATCAAGAGAGAAGGAGATGCAGTTACACGTTTCTCCCTCTTTCTTTCTCTCCATCCAATTTCTACATCTTCAAACACTCGGCGCGAGTCGGAAAAAAGTGCCTTCCGCCGTCAAAGGCTGATCCGATCTGACAGATGGAGTTTTTTCTTTTTGTTTGTTTGCCGTTCTTACTTAGGCAAATCAGTACTTCTCTCGCGATTTATCAGAAATCTCTTTGAGCGAAAAAAAACTTGCTCCTCTCTCTTCAATTTCTTCAAATGGAAGAAACTCTTGATCTCCGCTCGGCTGCCTGGCAGTTTTTTCCCTTTCGTAAATCGTAAATTTAAACTAAGTTTTCGGGGCAACAAAATAAGGCGGAGGGTTTTGCGTGCCTCTCTCTTACTTACTTAGGGAATGCAATAACGTGGAAAGCGGGTCACACACATTCATTCGTTTGAGCTGCTCAAGAATTCTCTCATTTTAATACACCTCTCTCTGGCGGCGCCGTCGCGCAGGTAAAGTACTTTGCCGCACTGACTCTGTCACTCTTCTTGTCGCGCGCGCCACCAGAAAAAGCAAATAATTTCTCTGCAGTTGCAAAGAGCCGCCGCCTGCCATGCACTTCTCCGCACAAACATTAATTTTAATCAAAATTCCCCGTCTCGGTCTCTCGCGTGCAACGTAAAGTCTCATCTTGATTCCCGGCACCTGCTTTTTAATAAAGCTGAAAACACATTAGAATGCACGCGCCGCCGACCTAATGCAGCGCGTAGAGTTGTGTGCCTGTCCAACTTTTAGGAAATTAGTCGCAGAGCAAAAGCAGAAGTAAAAACGGGGGAGAAGAGAAAGAAAACAAAACTTTTCATCCGCACTCTCCAGAGATGAGATGGAGAATTTAGAGTAAAAGGTGTCCCAGTTTGCAGAAAGGTAAATCAAAAAGTTGGTTAACTTTGCTTGAATTAATATTTTCTTATGGAAAATTTTTAGAAATTCTCTGCCACTATTTCTAAATAAGATTGATTGTTTGCAAATAGTAAATTCAAATCTCTGCCTCGTCATTTTGAAGAGAGCGCTTGTAATTTATTCTAAAGTAGGCAACTCTCAAAACAATAATTCAACCAAAATGAGATTGAAAAATTTAAATGAAAAAAGAAAACAATTTTAAAATGTATTCAATTTGCTTTCAAATATAGACAGGAAAAAAATAAAATTATTGTTAATAATTCAGTGTTATAAATTTTGATACCTTTCCATGAAGAAAGTTTGCACGATTTTTGTATCAGGTTTTCTAATTATTTCCCGGCTGAAACAAAAAGCCATTATATGATTCGTTTTCCCCCCAACCGTTGTGTGTGTCGCCATGCAAAATAACGGGGCCATTAGTGGTGCTGCAGCTTTATGGAGTGGGAGTAGCGAAAGATGCGACCGGCGGCGAGTGCACAATGGCAGACTGCACGGCTCATTAGAGCAAAACTGCAGCGTGTATAATTAGCGGGGCTACTCTGCCATTACCCTATCGCAAAAGATATCCACACACACGGCGCGACGCGTGATTGAATCACCAGTGCCGCGCCTAATCGCCACTCTCCGCACAGAGGGCGGAGGGAGGGAGGGGGAGGCCATAATTCATAATAAACAGCTCTCAGCCGCACTTAATCTGCCGGTGCTGCTGCTGCTGCGCTGTGGCGATTATTAATCAACACTCACGGCCGCCTGATTTTGTGTCAATGCCTCTTTGCTTGATGCATGGCCGTTTGATAGAATTACAAACACCCTCGTTCTCTCTCTCTCTCTCTCTGTTTCAAAAGCGGCTAAAAAAATACTCTACAGCACCGGCCGGCGGTGGTAAATGGTAAAGAGCGACCGCTTAATTATTCATGCGTTCGGCAAAACGACGCCCGGCTTTCCAGAATTGGGGCAATTTCCGCTTTTCCACCTGCAAAGCGCATTCCTCCGAAAACTGTTGGCCGTAAAAAGTTCAGGTCTTTATGTAAATTTTTATTGGCTCGGCAGAATTTCAAAATTCACTAAAATTATCATTTTAATACTGAAATAAGTCGATTTTGTTCAATTTTTTAATAATAATAACCAAAGGCAATTTTTACTACGAAAATATTTTCAAGGGGAAAATTAATAAAAGCGAAAAAAGGCGCGCCTCTTGCATCAAGAAGTAATTTGCATACAAATTTCTTCACACGCCGCGGCAACATTGTTTTATTAATAAATCGAGGGAATTTGCTTAATCTAGGCGGGCTTGGGAGGGCTGCTTTTAACTTAATGTTTCTTTTTATTACGGGCTAAACAATGGCTGTGCCGAGGGAAGAAGGGCTGAATGAGTGATGGTGGTTGCGCCGACAAAGGAGCAAGACGTATTTATCCAAAGTGCTAGTGTGATTTATACTCGCCCGCCCGCCCGCCCGCCCGCTCAAGTGTCAGTGCGCGGTTAAACAAATGAAGGGCACAATTTCAAATTTAAAGGCCCTTTTCTCCTTCCAGCTTCCTCTCGAGAAAATCGATCTTTGTTTTACGCGTCGTGCGTTGCAAACCAATTTGCTGCCGTAAAACACGGATCGCACTTTTGCTTCATTCCTCCGGCATCTTTTATGTCTCTTTTGAGCAAAAGCTACACGATATTGACTTGTTTCACAGAGGATGTAAGAAATTGACAAATTGTCACAATTCCAGATCTGTCTTTATTTCATTTCAATTCTTCAATGGAATGAAAAAAAAACATTTGATTTTTTTTCATCTTTCTGTGGCAATTTCAATTGTATCATAAAATTTTTATTGTACTTAATACTCGGTATGATTTCTTTACTTTTAAATTTGTTCGCCTTTTTGCATTTAAATCATGGCTTCCACTTAGTGAACTTAACCAAAAGTTTTTATCTAAGTATTTTCTAAAAAATATCTTATATTATTGCCATTAAGTTTGTACTTATCACGTTTTTCCTCGTCAGAAATCGGTTTTTCTTTGAAATTTGGGTTCAAAAAATCTGTTAAGGAGATTCGTGTCGCACTCGTAAAATATTTGGATCCATA